GCACGTGCCCCCAGGACATCTTTGGGACAGGAGTCCGGGATTGGCCCCTCTTCAGGAAGGTCATTCCTCCGTCTCATCCATCGTGCACGCTTCTGCAAGATGGGGTTCTTTCCTGACTCAACAAAGAGATCAACCAGGGCGGCTAGAAGCTCCTCATCCCTGGCCGACCCGATGCATTGCACTTTGGCCTCCCGCAGTCTCAAACGTCGCACTGTTCGTGGGGAGGTCAGCTGGTCCTGATGCATCTCATGCAACAACGAGCCCACCCGTTCGCATGAGCTGCTGGCACCATTTGCCAAGGCATTGTGTGCCAGCATCAGAACTGCATGCCAGCAGTGCTGCTGTCCACCTGCTTCATGGTCTGGCCATACCAGCCTTCACTGCATTTGCAACCAAGTCAGTGGGGAACCCTAAACCCTAAAAACCCTAAACCTTTAAACAAGGGAAACTGAAAATTCAGATTTTTTAATGGCCCATGCATGCGGACAAGTGACTCTTTCTCGAGAAGAAAGGATTGCAGCACATCTGTATCAGCCAACTTGGTTTTTGCAGCAATGATCCGCACCATGGGCAAACCACCTTGAGTACGCACACCAGGTCGGCGGTTTTGCTTGGCAAGCGCAAGGCATCGCAGAGCAGCAAAAGTGTGCTGGAAATCGAATTGTGCCTGCAGCTTCTTGCGACCCCGCTTTGTTTTACAGCCGAAACCACAGATCTGCAGCTTCTCTGCACAGACAGACCAGACAGTCCCTGCATTGGAATTTTCCAGCAAGAAGCCCTGCACCAATGAAGCAATCTGCACGCACACTGCTCGGGTGGCCACTTGCCTAAGACATACTACCAAAATAAAACTGAAGCACTAATTAAACCAAAGGAAACATAAAAATCAGAAATGAAATGAATTCCTGTTGCAAGCTCGACCAATGCTGGCAAAGACAATAGCACTCCATTGACAAGATGACAGCCTGCACCTTGTAGGATTCCACATGCTGCCATCGGCCATGCTCGAAACCTCCTCGCAATCTTTTGCAGAAAAGATCATATTCTCGAAGCAACTGGCCATCTGCTGGCAACCCTCGTTCTAGCCAGGGCAGTGTGTGCCGACTCGGCTTGCGAAGCCCCTGCAGCATGGGTCTCAAACCCTCTGCCACTTTCAGGAAAGCCTGCATCTCTGCCNNCTGACACACAGAGCTTCTGAAAGTTCCAGCACTTTGCCATGCAAGCAAGCATCTCTGAGAGATGCACCTGAATCCCCACAGGACCCCAGTACTCCTGGTAACTTGTGGACAAAGCATCCACGCATTTCTTCAGGCCAGTCAATGCAGAATCCATCGAAGACACGACGAAGGGAACCTGTCGTGCTGTCTTGCACTGAGGCAGATGAAGTCGGTACAAGGATTCTCCCTGCAAAGCAGCAGGCAACGGCTTCTCCTCCAGTATCTGGTATCGAAGAGGAACAGACAATGGGTCCTGAGTCCAAGCCTCTGCATCTGCCCGGGCACTTGCTGGAGTCATCGTGCTGTGCTTCACGTATGGCGGGACCAACAGTCGCTTCCGCCGATTGCCTACCCGAAGAAACACTGGCACCCGTGAATTCTCCCTCGCACGTCTGGCTGGGCACTGGCAGCGAGGAGTCACGCAGAAGCTGCCCGGAGTGAGGTCGATGAGGACCTGCAGCCTCACCCCTTTGAACTGTCTCTTCAGCAGTATGTCGGGCAAGTGCTTCAACAGCAGAGGAAAGGCTCTGCCCATTTTTGTGGGCATGTGGGCATGGATGAAGCTTGCAACAGAGCCCTTGTCCGTGTAGTGTTGCCTCAGATTCTGACAATTTGCACTGTCAAACCGTTCTTACAGCTACCTGAGTGCAGACAGGAGTGCAAAAGGCAGGACACAAGCAGAAGCCGCCGTAGTGAATGCAGCAGCTGAGACCGAGCCCCCAAGGACTGCAGCATGTCCTCAAAGGCACGCTGGGCCACCCACGGGGGGTCCTCACTTCTCTCTGTGCATAAGACGAAGGGCTGCAGGTCACAGGCCATGGTATCAGCAAAAACACACAGAAAGGTCACCATCTCCACTGATGATAATCGACGGCCGATGCTGCTCAAAGCTGACTGGGATGTTTTTCCATGTCCAGCCTGCTTCATCCTTACCTTGCCATGAAGACCAGCTATGTACAGGCGAAAATTGTCTATGAGATTGTGGGCCACACAAGAGAGCTCATAGACCTTCCTGGCACCAGAGGAATCAGCCACTGCTTTCACAGGCTCGTTTAGCTCTGCTGCTATGCTTCTGAACAAGACCTTGCCGGACAGAATACCAAACTGCTGACTCATGGATCGCCCCAGGGCATACAGTTCTTGAACTATCGGAGTCTGATCCACCACCCTGGCAAAAGCACAGTGAGCTCGATGGAACTTGTCCCACTCCACCCAAGCAGGGATGTCGGGGTGAATCTGTTCCCATAGCAGATCTCCAGCCTTTGAGGATGAATGCCTTGCCGAAGGTCCTCCACTTATCACGGCTCCGTCGCCGCCGATCATACTCACCAGCCTGCATCTCAAATGAGGAAGAGAGAACTTGCCGGGATGATTTTGCAAAGCTTCAAGGATGCCGGCCACCTGACTGGGACCATCGTGGAACATGCCGATGGATCTTGCATCGATGAGCCTTGTCACTGCCTGCCCCGTCGATGGATGGAGAAAGTAAGCCATCACCACTTGCAGTGTCTCGTGTCGGGAAAACATGCCACTGCCCAAGGTCACTGGGTCGAAAATTAAAGTCAGTGGAGACATCACTCCCAGAGATGGAAGCTGACCAGTGAGCTCTGCTGCATCGAGATGTGTCAGGAAGCAAGCTGCTGCCTGCTCAACAAGGCTCACGAAGTGAACGGAGTTGTATTTGTCTCCGGTGTCCACCTGGCTCAACTTGAGTCTCTGCAAGCCATAGCAGTACTCCACATCAGCATGCCCCCGGCTGGCAATGAACAAAGCTTCCCGCAGCTGTGTCATCAAGATGGCTTTCTTCTCCCTCCGAGTCTCTGCTTCGAAGGCCTCGACCCTCTTCTGGGAGGCTTCCTTGCCCTTGCAAGGCACTGGAATCCAGGAGTTCTCCCGCACTCTTTGGATCATGTTCCGTAGTGTGGCAGCACCCACACCTGGGTCGACATACACCCAGACCCCCGTATTCTGAGCAATGTTCACTTCACTAATCCAGCTTTATCCCCGATCCTAAGGAACATGAGCAAACTCATCAGCAATATAGACAAGCCTCGCAGAGTCCTTGCAGCTGCTTTGTAGCATAACCTGCCTGTGCTATGATCAGAAGCACTCTCTAAAGGCGGTAGAGCTGAGATGATACTGTTCAATGCTTGCTTGGGCAGCTTCGAAAAGCTGACCAGAACATTGGTCACCAAAACCTGTGTTTGCTCTTCAATGGGAGCAATGCCCCGCCGAAGCCAACGCCCCACGTTGACTCCAGGCTCCCACTGTCCTTCCCAATTGTGCTCATGAGCATCATCAGCTAGTTGCACATGATCTTCTGCAATGCTCTGCTCACGCAAAGCACTCGAAAACTCCTCATCTGACACCAGGCTGAAAGAATCTTCTGCAGGTTCCACTGCATGAGAAGGAACCAGCACAAACTCCTCCAGCTCTACGGCTGGAGCACATTTGGGGTCCGGCTCATCGTCAAGCTCTACACTCATCCCTTAACACCAATCTGACAGTATGAATCTGTTGCAATATACACCGCTCACATGCACACCCTGGGCTCTCTAGCAACTTTCCTGTACACTAGGTCACTAGGCTGTTGTGACAATGATCCGAAAGTGCAAACCTTCCATGTGCACAGCTTCCACTGCTACAGCTTGAAGCTCGGCACTGTAGCACACTCCCAGCATGAGGGACAGCCAAGAATACTTGGCCTCAAGAACCACACAATCCAAGAATTATACTGCCCGGATCTGTCTATTGCCACATTGCCACACGACATCTGGTTTTATCAAGCACATAAACTGTTCTGATGTGGCTTTCGGGCCCTGTCACCAGGCCCCCTGCCAACCCATCCACACCCTTGTCCCCAGATGCAGTCTGGCCTTGGAGCTGAGCGGTGATAGCCCCCTACCGCCCCAGTCTCTATCCTAACAACCGACACCCCAAACCTAACTAACGCCACGAAGGGCGAGACCCCCAAGCCTACCACCCCAGTCTCTATCCTAACAACGGACATCCCAAACCTAGCTAACACCACGAAGGGCGAGACCCGAGACCTGTGGTTGACGATTACTACGTTTTTTTCATTACTAGTAGGATTATCCATATTCCTGCA